TGTAAAGTCGGTTTGAAATGTATGGTCGGTGGTTCAAGCTCACCAGCTGCTCCTTGGAAACCCTATACAGGGTCGTTATGGGTCGGAATCGACACAATGGCACTTAACAACAGGACAGAGTAGAACTGGCCATAGAGTTTCTTAGGTTGTAATCTTTATAGGAGCAGATTGCCAGATCTTTTCTCCCATGGAGTGACTGGTGGATTTGAAGCTCCAACCTTTCAGCATTCTAGTACTTAACCATTGTGCAACCAGTGCTCCTGATAGATCAATTGTTGTTGTTAAGTGCTATCAAGTAGGTCCCAACACATTAACAACCCTGTATGTGGTTCCCGAGGAGTGGCAGGTGGGCTTGAACCACCGACCATGTGAAGAGTCCTACAACTTATCTTCCAGCAACACACCAGGACTCTGAGGTGTAGGTTGTTGTTTTTTAAGTGCTGTTGAGTTGGTTCTGACTCATAGCAACCCTGCATAGGGTTTCCAAGGATCAGCTGGTGAGCTTGAACTGTATTTAAATTTAGACATTCCTAAAATGAAAAAAAACTTGATGATATAGACATTTCAAAATTTTTCTAACAATTTGAAATTTACAAACAGAAATTTACAAAAGGTTTCCATGAATCAAAATTGACTCAATGACCACTCTCGTTTTTATGCTTTGTTTGTTTTATGTGGTATGTATTTCCTCATTTTCACAGAAAGCAACTTAGGAGCAAATGGCATTTCACCTGACTAGTAAAAGCCTCCAACATCATTATTAGGATCGCCCGTTATTAGGACTCCTTAATGTTGTTGTTGTTAAGGGTCATCAAGTTGATTCAAACTGACCTTGTGATCCAGTACTTATCCTACAGGATTGTTGTTGTTAAGTGCCATTGAGTTTGTTCTGACTCATAGTAACCCTGAATAGAGTTTCCAAAGAGTGGCTAGTGGGTTTGAGCCACTGACCTTGTGGTTCGCAGTCCAGTCTAGTGCTTATCCTACAACGTCACACCAGGATTAGTGTAAACCAAATTTGGTCAATGGCTGGCTCATCTGAGTCTAGAACTCACCTTCTCCCTGACCACTCTTGCATCCTATGCATTTCATCCATTCTTATCTAGATACGAAAGTTAGCTTTATGTCTAGGTACTCTTGCCTTGTAAGTTTCTGTCTGAGATGTCTTTCTTTCATTTATCAGTAAGCTCCTTGAAGACTGGTATCATATCTTACGTATTTTTGTAACAGAGCTATTTCTTTGCTCTGTTCTTTTTTTTTTAAAGTCAACACAGTTTATTATCACTAATATCTTTACTAGAAGAAAAGAGGTAGCACACAGGTCAAGACTGTTTGAGAAAAAAACTCCAGCTTTGTATAAGTCACTCCACTTACACCTGGGTGGAGCGCTCCCATGTTAGGCAGAGCAGCTGCAGTTGTCCCATGCCCCTTTGCAGGTGCAGCCCTAGGTGCACTGGGCCCAGCCCATGGGGCAGCAGGAGCAGCAACTCTTCCTGCAGGAGGTGTGATTGCACTTGCAGGAGCCAGAGCAGACACAGAAGTCACGCATGGTGCCTGAGCAATTGGGGTTCATTGCTAGCAAGGTGAGGGAGGTGGGAAGGCAGGTCGCAAAGAGGATACTAAGTTGGTGGAAGGTGTACTCTGTGCTCTGTTCTTTACCTCCCAATAAAGGCTCCTGATCAGTCCTAAGTAAAATGTATCCGAAGCTGCTGCTGCTCAGTTTATTAGGGATGATAAAAGATCCAAAAAGAATAGTCACAGATATGTCAGTATTAGACCAAAAGCAAATGCTTATTAAGTACCTTCCTGTGTCCAACCCCCAAGGATACAAAAATCTAAGGCATGTATCTGGGAAATCTAAGTACTAATCTAATAATGTAATTATTGAGGCAGAAGAGGCTAAATAGTTGTGAATAGAAAGAGGAAAAAGATAAAAGGAAGATTCCAGGCCCCCACAACCATGCAGCAATTCTATGAGGTAGATAATTTTTGTACTGTTTTAAATCAGGAATCTGGAGTTCAAAGAGATCTATTAATGTTCTCTAAAATGTTTCTCACTAGTGAGTGGTAGGAGGTCAGTGGTTCAAACCCACAGGTCCTCCTTGGAAACCCTATGCAGGGTCACTATGAATCGAAACTGCCTTGACATGCTTAACAGTAACAACCTAAGTTTTAGTTTAGCTTCAGTCTGTTCATTCATTCCAACTCGAAGGCATTTAACAACAAATGAGTGATAAGAAGCCTGGGTGGTACACTGGGTTGAGTGTTGGACTGATAACTGCAAGGCAGTGGTTCAAGCCCAGCAACTCTTCCTTGGGAGAAAGATGCTGCTGCCTCTATTCCTGTAAACATTTATAGTTTTGGAAACTCTCTGAGGCAATTTTACCCTAGTAGGTGACAGTCGGTATAGTGAATGGTGATGCTGACGTTCTAGCCCAGGTCTGCAGTGCACTGAGGCTCTAGCAGGGGTGATATGTGGTCACTTTGATCCTTACCAGGATGACTCCAGAGCATGCAACCAGAATTGAGTTAAAATGATAGCACTGCTTCTTCTCAATGCTAGTTTTTGTTTGTCATTGACATTTGAAACCAAATCTACACAATGAAATACTATTTGCTCATGAGTCACAAACCATGGCACTTGGTAAAAGAAGTGATGCTTGTTTGATGGGTCACATTTCTCACCATACTTACACATGCTTTTAAATAATTTGAGAAAATTTGGGGTGTTGCTTTAGATGAGACACTCTGTAGAATAAGAACTTTTGAGTTTGTTGAAGTTTAAGTCTTGTATGAACTGAAAAAGATGCCCTTCTCAACAAGTAGCAAGCAATTTTGCTCTTTATTAAGTCAAATTCTTGGGGTTAAATATCACTGTCCTGGTATAGTAATGTTGGCTAGTTAATATGCTGGACTGCAAAGTCAGTTTGAACTGCTAGGTTGGCAGTTCAAGCTCACCAATCACTCCTGAGAAACCCTATACAGTGTTGCTACGTGTCAGAACCGATTCGACAGCATTTAACAACAACATTATGGTGCTGTAGGATCTGTACTGGACTGTGAACCAAGGCTGGCAGTTCAAACCCACTAGCTGCTCCTTGGAAACCCTATGCAGGGTCTCTATGAATCGGGATAGATTTGAAGGCAAGTAACATCAACAACACTATCATAGAAAGGTGACATGAAGAATGACGAGAAATTCCTCCCGACCATGACACTGATCCTAGAACTCCACGCTCTGCGTTTTTCTTATTGGATGGCAATGTGATTCCTTATTCTGCCACTTATCTCTCATTCTCAACCATATGTACCCCTTAGACATCCTGAAAAAACATGCCAGATCACTTATGTTATACGCAAAAGCTTTCTTGGATGGACACTACTAAAAACAGTTGTCACAAAGTTGATGCAACAAAATTGTGTTCTTTGAGGGGTGGGGAACTGTTATTGTGTTTTGGTATGTTTTCCATTTAGAGCTTATTAAATAATCAGTGTTGTACAAATCTACTTACAAATTAAAAGAAAAATTTTAAAGTAGGTTCATAGGTAGTCTTATAAATTAGAACCCTCATACCTACTTAGAACAAGCAGGTAGTGTCAAAAGGTGGAGCTGGTAAACCTCACTGAGCATATGCGAGTAAGAATGAGAACATGATAATGACATACAGCGTAATAGATTTTATATGGTCCTCAGTCGAAGGTGCGTACCTGCTATTTAAGACAACATGAAGGTTTGAACAAGATTTACAGCAACTTATGTGAAAAAAATATTGTTTTTAATTATCTTCTAAAAATCTTGAACTTTAAAACCCAACCCTGTAGCCATAGAAAATATGCAAACAGCTTTTCTTTCCCTTCTATGTATTTTCTTCTCCTTCTATGTATACCTATAGGTGCTGGGTGTACTCTAACAGGTTGTTTATGAAAGGTATCCCAGCCACCCACGTGCCCACAGGTTGCGATTTCCTGTGTTTCAAATTTAGTTTCAGATTATATCTATCTATAATCCATCAACTTCTTTACCTCTGTCCATCTTTGTGCAAGCATTAGTTTCATCGGTAAATTGACAGATTATTCCATTTTTAGATTTTTTTGCTTTGGCTCACTCTCCCTGGAATAACATTGTCTAGCAAAAGTTTAACTTTTGAAAAATGAAGTCATCTTGCAAATAATTAAAACAAAAAGTCAAGCCATGGTTCCTCAGTTTATGTAGACATTGTGTCATTAGGCCGAGTTCAGGATCTGAAATCTATGCTTTCTATAATTAGGTACATAGATACAATCAAAACAATTATTATTACGTTTATGTCATCCAAAAATAGTCCAGCACTTAAGTCATTGATTAGACTTTTTTATTCCCTGTTTATTTTTATTGAGCTAGCAGAGCTATAAAGCTGGTATTATCAATATTATTTATTCTTATCACATACACTTCATTAGTTCCTGAGAATCCAATTCTACAGTATGTGTTATATTTGTATGTATTATACTTTGTATTATTTCACTTTGGACATGTTATCAGGAGGGACCAGTCCCTTGAGAAGGACATCATGCTTGTAGTGGGTTAGTGCAAAAGAGGAAGACCCTCCCCCTGAGGAAAAGGACACAGTGAATGCAACAATGGGTTCAAGCACAGCCAACAGTTGTGAGGATGGCACAGGACTTGGTGTTCTGTTCTGTTGTATACAGGGTCGCTATGCATTGGAACCAATTGGACAACACCTAACAACAATAGCAGTATATCACACACTGAGTTCATTTTGAGCCCGTTTCATAAAAGGTATATTTATGAAGACAGAACTTGTGTATGTGTTAGACAAAAGCATTATAGACTGCTTCATTAAACAGGTTTTTATATCTCTGATTTATTTTACAAAAACTGAAATCTTTGCATGTTTACAAGGCCTGGAATAACTAACAAAATAAACAAGAGCCTTTCTGGAGAAACATGTCCATATGTCAGTGTGGTTTAGGTCTGATTCAAGACACAATTCATTACCTCTGAAAAAATGAAGGCACATTTATTCATTGACCAGTGGAGATTCCACATTATGCAGAAGGCAGATAATGATACATTCACATTCTGCTTTATTTTCAGTTTGTTTTTTTCAAAAAATGAAACCAAGACACTTAAAATATTCTTTTAATTAAGATGCTCAAAGAAATGAAATAAGAAAACTTGATGCAAGGACTCCTTCAAGTAGGATTTATGATACAAATATTTTCACCTTTTAACAGAGCAAGCTGATGTGTTCACTCACATCCGAGTTCCAAGCCGCCTCTTCTACCATGAAACATCAGCATTGTCTTTTAAAACACATTTTAAATGCTTTCCCCTCGCCCTTGCTGTTTTATAGCACCTGTAGCCCTAACTGGCACCTGGAGACCTTGTATTGTTGGCAATTTCCCTTTCATTTCTTTGGATTCTAATCAAAGGCTGTGGTTTTACTCAGAAGTTGGTGCTTTGCATATACGATTTCCTGAGACTGTTTGAATAGTCTTTCTCAGAAAACTGTGCCTGGTTATGAAGAGCTCCTCTCTGAGGGAGCTAACAGTAGCCTCGCGGGGTTGATATGCTCAGCCTTGGGTTCCCAGGCTGGCCCTGCCATCATCCCTTCAGAATCTTTTTTTTTGTTGTTTTCTTGTCTCTGTCTTAGTGACATTACTGCCCACATCTTGCCATTCCTTTAAAGACATAAGTCCAGTTAGAAAAAGATAAAAGCCCTGTCCAGGAACCTATGCAAAACACCCATAAAAACAATTCATAGTTTCTGTTGTTTCAGCAGCTGATATGGAAATGATTTTAAATGCTAAAATGAAACTGGACTGAATAATTCAAACTTTTCTATAAAACAATAATCTGTTGCAAAGACAGAAGTTTTAGGGTTAATAGGTGTAAAATTTGGCACAAGGGTAACCTTCAATTTCTTAATTTGAGTACATTTGCTTTAAGATCATCATCTTGACAGTACAGTTTTGAAATACTGAAAACAAAAGTGGTTTGTAATAAGCTTTACTGGCATGCTATTTTGAAGTGCTAAGGAAGAGAGAAGCATTGTTTTATGAAGTGACTCATGTGAGTATATATATGTTGGTGTGCTGAGCTGCTGGCAATTCCATGGTCTTCGTCAGTATACCACTAGAAAGACAAAGTAAAAAGGTCAGAATTAGGAACTCAGCTTTCCCCCACCCCATCAATTCAAATGAGCCCACATGAGCATAGTGGTATAAAGTAAGGTGTTTTAATTCTTGCAACAGCTTAATCAAAAGTTACTAATTTTCCTCAGAACTTTTTCCTGTCCTACAAAACAGTCCCCTGTCTACCGATGCAGGTGCTAAGACAACTCACTGTGAATTTGGCTTTACCACAATGTGCTTTAAGAAAATGTAAATTCTAATTAATGCACTCAAATTCATTGTTAAATTTGACTCAATGGACACTTAAAACCACGCCATGCACAGAAGACAACGTGTACCTCATTGAGCCCACTTGGTTTAATTGTTATCATTTATTATATTTCTCCTACACTTTATTAGTATAAACTGCACTAAAATAAATGGGTGCTTTAAAAGCAATTTTTCGTAATATATATCACTAAGGAGTTGGAAAGTCTCTTTCAATATTTAAACATTATATATATATAACATAAGTGCAGTCAAAAGTCAAATGATTATTTGTAAACACTAAGATTTTTTCACTGGCATGTAAAAAATATAAGTATGTGTGACATTTCTAGAAAAAGCTTGGGACTTAAGGCACAAACGAGTCAACTCATGCTATATTAAACAAAAATGGAGTCATAGACAAACATATTACAAGATATAAAGTAACTTTTTTAAAACTGCTTAATCAGAATATTATGTGTTTTTTTAATAGAGAAAAAATGAAACCTGATAAGAAAAATGAACCTTAAATAATCTCTTATTTATAAGAACCTGACCCAAAGTATAAGTCAGTGTTTCCAGTATTCAAATGATCTACAGTGGGCAGCATTTGAACTAAGCACAGAGTGAAGGCTGTAGGTTAGAAGAGACTGGAGAAAAGCAGGCTTTTCTGGCTACAAAAGACATGAAGACTGCATTTTACACAAAAATATTTGGTGCAACACATCCATACATTTTCTTCTTAATCTGGGAAATGGATTTGCCTTAATACCTAGAAATATTCTCTGGATAGGCAGCAGTAACTTTAGTCCCTTCTGACTTTATAAAACAAGTCTCGTTGTTTACTGCATGTGGTTATTCAACAAAAGATAACATGGCAATTGCAAATGCTGAAGTGTGCTGATTATTAATATCCCACTGTTGGTAGAACGGCTAGTAATATATCCTAGACACAAATGAATTCTCATATTTGAGCTGAGCTATTATCATGCTGGTTTCACTTTAGAATTACTCTGCCACACATTTACTGAATAAGTGATTACTTTTAAATCAAAAGGGAAAGGACAGACTGAACAATCACATGGGCAGGAGAGCAGTATTTTGACACTCCCAAGATATGCAATATTATACTTCTCAACCCCAGTCTTTTGCATTCCTGAACATTACTCTCTATATGGTTCAAGGACATTACTTCTCCGGCTTCTTATTGGAAAAATAGAAACCCTTTTAACGCTTTCCATGTCTCCTGGGCCTCTGTGAAGAGAAGCAGCACAGAGACATACAACCAGAGCCCCACCAGCAATTGCCCTCCTCCCCTTGCACAAAGTTTTGCTATACCATTGCCTGGAAATCCACTCCAGCATCCACCAGCGCTTTGGAGATCTGAGCTGACTGCTGAAAGTGAACGTTATCTGCAGGGAGAGAAGGGAAACATAAAGTAGCTAATAGCTGTTCCAGTTTTATGATACCAAAGGGTGAGAAAAGCACAAGAAGAAAGGGACTGTCTGAAGTTCTAGAACTCAGCATCCCATTTAGCTCAAGACAAGTGAGTTGTGGAAAGCAACACTGTTTTATTGAAGTAAATGTAACAGTCTTGCCCCTCATGCTTTTGTTTTGTCAGTAGTGAAACTGCAAACCTGTCTGTGATACTAAAAAGTCTAATTAACTGAAACTCACCATCTGCTGTTCCATGAATAAGGAGGTACTCAACTTGCTTAAAATTTTCAGCTCTGCTCATGACTGTTGAATTCTGGAATGGGGAAAAAGAGTGTCATTATTCAAAAAAGGATCTGCCATAAACTGATTTTTCACTTCAGTTTACAAAATAAAATGTTTTCAGCTGGGGCCCCCTTTGATACAAAATATAGCAAACCGATATTCAAGCAAATGCTGTCTCCCTGCATGGCAGAATGCGCAGCATGCCCAGTACTGGGGAGACAGGGCTGGAAAGGGAAATGCCACATCTTCTCTGTGCATGCAGGAAGTGGGCACCTGCCACTGAGGCTCCATGCAAAGCCCCTTGCGTCTCAGATCCCAGGTTGGCTGTGTCCTATGCATTAGCGCAGGGCATACTCTCATATTAGAAATGTATGTTCCATGGGTTTATGCTGTAGTTCAGCCAAAAAGTGTATTGCCATGGCAACCATGTGTCACATGGTGCCATACATGCTACATTTCAAAGAGCCTGTACATAGCATTTGCAAGGAAACATACTGTGCAATATGTCATGTGAACTTTGGTCTACATGCTAGGCTCTGAATGAAAAGCAAATACTACCTCTTTAGGAACAGATGTTTAAAACCTAGGCAAATGTACCATATGGGAGGGGAGAGGGGTGAAAAAGACCAAGGATGGCCTTAGAAAACCAGTGGGTCACTGCTGTCTGCTTCATTCTGTAGTAAGAATGGACCAAGTCATTCCAAAAGCAGCCAGAGAAATAGGATATAAAAAAACAAAAATTGTGAGGTCATCTTTAAGAAGACTGCTCTGTGGTCTAAGTCAGGTAGGGCTTCTGAAATGTGAGTCAGAGGCCTTAGATGGAAAAGCCCTTGGAAGCTTAATACTGGTCATCTGACCTTCCTTTGGGGATTTTTACAAAGTTGGGATGAACGTAGTTATTGTCTCACAGACGCTGTGGTATCATTGATGGGTGAATGAGAGACAGTCTTCTATTTTCTTGTTCTGAATAGACAGGGGAAGGGGCTCAATGGGGTTTAAATCAACCAGCTAGTCTTGAAGCATCTTGGTGACTCAAAGTCAACTTTAGGAGAGGCAGGGTTTGTATTTTACGGAGAGCTTTATAGCTAATTCTAGTTTAAGACTGTTGATGGGAGCTGGTGGTCTGGCTGAGGTCATGGTGCTCCTAATTTTGATTCAATTTCAGTATCAGTGAGCTATGTGGATGGAGACATGATGCTCTCTGCACTTGGCTTTCTATTTAAAAAGTCATCAGAATAACTTCTCTGTTTGCCTCACAGAAATGAGAATCAAGAAATATGGCACAGCTTTTTTTTGTTTTTTTAAGTTAAAATTGTTGATGTGAGAATGCTATGATGCTTTATCTACAACCTTCAGGATAAGGTCACCACAAATGTATATTGACCGAGGCTTCCAAGATTACCTGGTCCTGAACAGCTCAGATCAAATGCCCTCCCACTTATGTGCAGGTGGGTTCCCACTTGTCCTGACACCATATTGCATTTTGGACCCAAATGAAGAGTTTATTCACGACTTTCAAAATTAACACTTAGGACTCACTGAAAACCACACTCATTATTTAAAAAAAAAAAACCAGAATAGATTCATACATGTATGAATCCATCTCTCTAATATCTCATATTCATTCATTTATTTTTTCAACTCATGTAAACTGATATTTATTTTTTATATATACCCACTAAAACTGACTTCTGCTGTGGCACTGTAGGATGAGCACTGGACTTCAAACCACAAGGTCAACAGTTCAAACCCACCAGCGGCTTCTCACTATGAGTCAGAACCAACTTGATGGCATTTACCATACACACACACACACACACACACACAAGTTGGAATCAACTGGACAGCACTTCACAACAACAAGAAAACCATGAGCTTTATGAAAAAGAGGATTTAGCTATGTTGCTCATTATATATAAAAGAGGGTTTTGCTATGACAGGGCTAAATATGCATCCATTAAATTAATAAATGAAAGCAATTACTAATCACTGATTTTGTACTGCCTTCAGGATCCTGTCCTAGTTTTTCAGAGGCAAGTGAGAACATCTGGGATAGGTGGGATAAAATATTCTCATTCTGAAATTGAGATATGTCTTTCCTACTTTCAAACTATTCCCCATATTACTAATAATAACAGTTAACTCTGAATGACTGAACTACACCAATCACTTGTCAAGCATCATAACAGATTTTGAAAACACTATTCCATTTAATAGAGTCCTGGTGTGGCACTGCAAGATAAGCACTGGACTGCTAATTGTAAGATTGGTGGTTCAAACCCACCAGACACTCGTCCGAAACCCTATCAAGAAACTCTATGATATTCATAACCAACTCAATGGCACTTAACAACAATTTAATCCTTACAACATCCCTGTGAAGCAGGTATGTGCCATCCCTCTTTTATAGATAAAGACATGGAGAATCAGAAGGTGGATAACTGACATCAGATTGCATCTGCAGGAGAGTCAGAGGTGGACACAAACTTTTCCTGTACAACTCCTTTTTAATTTCTATTCTGCACTGCGTTGCTACTAAAATCCAAGCTGCTCATGGTGCGCTCTTCCAGCAGAGGAACAGTCTGCTATAAAATGTAATGGCCTGTTCCGGAGTTTGAAGTACACAAATATACCAGGTACCCATCGGCTCCTGAGACCCTGAGCTTTTTCAGACTGGATTAATCAGAAAGGAGATGGGTCTGAAAGCCCGGTTAGATTTGGGAGGCATTTGCTTCTAACTGTGTAAGTGATATACTCAGATAGCCTAATGCACAGTAACAGAACCTTGAGTGATTTTTTGCCCTTGAGAGAAGAAAGGGTGAAAATAAATGTCCCTAAAATGCTGTCGTGCAGCATAAGCTATAGGGAAGAGAAGCTAGGACTTGAATCTGATCACAAACTGCAGGCCCTGGAACACCCTGCTAGAATCCTCCACTGGGACCCTGTCTGTTGATCATGTTTGAAGTCTGTACTGACTGCTCATCTGTTTCCTTTTTCCGTGTGTCTCCCAAAATTCAATCTAGCTCTTTGCTCATGGAAAAGAATCACCTTCAACACCCAGACCTGACCCACATCCACAGCTGCGTCACCTCACTTCATCTCCTGATCTTTCTTTACTTAGCAGCTTGGACAGCAAGAACAGCTCCTACAACCTCCCTGAGACATCAAACTAAGAAATAGCACGGAAACATAGAGTAATAGTTAGGAGACATATAAATACACAGGACAGTTAGCAAGGAATGTGATAACTACTGGAGTTTGGACCAAAACAGTTTCTGGCTGCCTTTTTTTTTTTTTTTTTTTCCTAAATGGAGTGAATACAGGCTGAAAGAAGACAATTTTTATAAACAAGTAAAACCCTGAGCCTAAGATAAATGTTGTGATGTACACACTGTAGCTGTGATGAACTAGACATGGTGAGAAATGCAACATACTGAGAAAAAGACGAAAACTGTGATAAAAGTGTCATGATGCAAATTGTTTTACATTAACAATATTACACTACAAAGAAAGAAAGACAAATACTTTAATGCAACAAGAGAAAAATAAAACAAAAGCTTTTTCTGCAAAGGCTAGATAAGTGTGCCATTTCAAATGCATACTTCCCCTGTTCCCTGGGAGAAACCTCAGGAGGGACCTTTCTGGGAAAGGGAGGCAGGCAGCCCTGAGGCATAAAGGCAACGTTAAGATTATCAGGCTGCTGGGGGAACATTTTCACCCCTGGAACAACACAGCGGTGTGATCTTGCCTCTTGAACCACCAATTATTCTCTATGAGCCAGTGCATCCTCTTTTCACAGCCAACACTCTTCACCATACCCTGAACCGTGCACTTTAACCTGTGACACTCTGCATCCAATACCAGTGAAAAACCGGCATGCCTTATGTACAATTAATGATCAGAAAAACTTTAATTGTGCTCATTTTACCCACCACTATAGGATGATCCTCTTTTGTCTACCAATGGAAACAGAAGTAAAAAAGGAAATGGATGATTATCTTAGAAGCCGAATAGTCTATCACCCAACTACTAAAAAGGAAGCTCAGAGTGATAAATGGGCAAGGATGCGAATGGTGGTGCGGTTGGCACTCTCTTGAGGCTAGAAACTTCCGGAGAACCCTGCTGCCAGCAACAGTCTGGCAAAGGGAAGTGGAAAGGATGGGTCCAGTGGCAGTGCCGATTCCACAGCATCTCTGTGAGAAGCTTTTCCTTCAAGCCCCAAGAAGAACCATCTGTAACTGCTTGTTGGATCATGCTGGTTCCTCAGTTACCTTCCAACAAATAAATCTTTGTATTTTTGAAATAAAAGAAGGAGCTGATGAGAGTAGGGAAGTACTGTGAGAAACAGACAGTATGACAACTTCTAAACTGCCCCTCTGTGCCATTTAGACATCATCAGGGTCATTTATTTTGCAAGGATAACGAAGATGGCAGCTGCCAGGTTTTGAAAGCTATCTTGGTGGTGGGCTCATGTGTGTGACTCATTTAATCCTTTCAGTAACTCTGTGAGGTAGGTCAGATTATTTCTGTTCCCAGATGAGGAAATTGAGGTTCAAATATTTATCAAATATTTATCTGTATAACTCTGAAGCCCGTGTATCTATCTTATTGAGTGATACTATCCCTTAATGTCACAGTCAAAGAAGTCATTGTCATCTCTAGGCTCTTGTACAAGGAACAAACAGCCACTGCACTTTAGCGAGATCATCCAAATTAGGGATTACCTGCTTGTACTGTCAACCAAAGTCTCATAAATAACATTGTATGATGCCATTTTGGGAAATACCATTAACGCCACAACATAAGCTTCAGAAAAATGTTTTAGAAAAAAAGTGAAATCAACCCACGCTATCAGATATTTTGCTTATTTACACCTATCAAACAACTGTATCCATAAGATGCCAAGGAAAGAGCTCTCATCACAACCCTGGACAGGGGGCTTTACTTTAGGCCTCTCTAAGCATCACTGGCTTCTTTAAAGATCACACGGCAGTCAACATTTTATCAGCACTCAACAAACAAGTTAAGGTT